TGGGTTAGACTCTGAAATTAGGCTAGCCTTTCTCCTGTTAGTTTCTGGAAGGCTTCTCTTAGACTGATCGGGTCAACCGATGTCTCTCTGTGGTCCCCAGGTCTTTCTTCCTTCTTTTTCGCCTCTTCGGGACAGCTTCTGGCCCATTTAGGGTCCCCTAACAGGAAGAAACTCAGCCGAAGGGCATGGAGCCCTGAACCCCTCGACTGCTGCGCTACTGCGCATAACCGGAAGTCGAAAACTTCTTATATGTTGCATTAAAACTATATGAAATAATCTTAATTTTTTTCATGTTATGTTGCAAATAAAAGCTGAAACTCTTAAGAATTAAAGATGCATACAAAGTCATGAGTCCATTTCTGATAAACATTTCTGGGTTTAAAAACAGTGTTATGTAGAGTAAAACTTTGATCTAACAGAAATTTGCATCTGGATCTCCTATTGAAATTATGAACTAAATGTTATAGCTGAAGTAAATTGGACAAACGTCATTTGGTGACTAAAAGAGTATTTAATGTTGAGTCCAAGTATAGTTCATTTACATTTATTAATTTGATTTACGTCATTTTCCTAATAACATAATATCTGCATAATTGCATTATTACATAAATGACGTAAAATGATATGGCATTAAATTCAGATTTAATTAACATTTGGGAATAACAGACACTTCCTCTCCCTGAATTGTCCATTAAATCAAGGTGTGCATTTTATTTTAATGTAAGTATTTCCTTTCTTCCTATAAGATTCTGATGCTCACAGCACTACCTCAAGTAACTCTCCAGCCCACTCGCCTTGCTATAGCAACCAATCTGATGATGGCTCAGACACTGAGATGGCACCGGGTTCAAGCCGTACACCTGTCTTCTCCTTCTTGGATCTTACATACTGGAAAAGGTAAAAATGCCCCATTTGTGGATTTGTGTACATATATATATATATATAAGAAAAAATTATGAAAGCAAGACCATACCTGAAAGGAACTTGGAGACTTAGCTTTTGACAAAAGAGAGGATAGGCAGAAGAGGGAAACTCAGGAAGAGACAGAAGTTAGAAATGCAGATAATTGCATAAAATGTAATCTTAATTACAAGGCTCTGTTGTTTCCGTTCCCTCAGCAATTAGGCAGCATTTGCAGACAGCTGATGACTCAACCTGCTGTTTAGGCAAGTGGGTAAAAGTAACTGGATATCATGCAGAGCATGAATTGGGTCACAAGGCCTGTTGTTGTCTTAAGAGCAAAACTCTAGTCTTCAGGCTACTTTTTTTTCCCTTTTCAGTATTAATCCTTTCTTGGACAGGAGTGATGGATGCTGTGACAACAGCCAGCAGGTGTATTGATCTGCAAATCTCCTTCATGCTTTAAGATTAGCTAGTGTTGCATACTCATGTCAGCGGAAATGCTAAGTCTAGCAAGGACAAGTTCTCTGTAAAAAGAGTTGGGGATTAGGAAGATATCAGAAATGCATGGATTTTCTTGCTGCAAGATACAGGTAGTCCTCAATTTACAACAATTCATTCAGTGACCGTCCAAAGTTACAACGGCACTGAAAAAAGTAACATGACCATTTTCCACACTTATAACCTTGGGTCACATGATCAAAATTCAGATGCTTGGCAACTAGTTCACACTGTTGCTATGTCCCTAGGTCAGTGGTGGCGAACCTATGGCGCAGGTGCCAGAGGCGGCACTCAGAGCCCTCTCTGTGGGCACGCGCACCGTCGCCCCAGTCCTAGGCCTTCAGCTGGGTTTTATAAAACCTTTTCGCTTTAGGCCGCCGCCACTGTCTGCAAAAAAAAAAAAAAGGTTCAATCAATCAGTCAATTTCAACTTCTCACAGGGAAAAAAAAGATCTTGCAAAGTTGGAATTGATTGGTTGAACTTTAGTCCCACCCAGTCTGCCGTTACCACCGCAGCCACACCCACCCGGCACCTGACGATGGATAAGTGGGTTTTGGGTTGCAGTTTAGGCATTTGGTGTCTAAAAGGTTCGCCATCATTGCCCTAGGTCATCTAATCCCCTTTTGCAACCTTTTGACAAGCAAAATCAGTGGAGAAGTCAGATTCACTTAACAACAGTGGCAAGGGCATAAAATGGAACAAAACTCACTTAACAAACGTCTCACTTAGCAACAGAAATTTTGAGCTCAATTGTGGTCGTAAGTTGAGGACTACCTGTATGTTGATGGGAACTGTCTTAGACCCAGGATAGTACTGTAATCTCTTGGACTCTATAGCAGAGGTCCCCAACCTTTTGGGCACTGGGGACCAGTGCCATGGAGAAAGGTTTTTCTGCAGACCAGAGGGGGTGTGGTTTTGCGTACTGCCTGCATCCCACAGATGGGGCTTTGCTTGTTTGTGCAGACTGGTTGCTGGCATGCTCCCCAATAGGGAGACACAAAAAATGTAGTTTAGGCCTAAATAAGCTTGGCACAGTTCTAAAATAAAGAAAAAAATTGTACTTCATTCCATCAAACCTTGGGGGATGGACGGCATTGGCAGTACTCTTTATGGTTGAATTAAGTAGTGGTTTTAGATCAGGAGAAGGTCCACAGAGTAATTATTTTGCTAAAAGTTAAGAGTTGTTGCCTTTGATTTAAAAAACAACAACATGATATTGATACAGCCTTTTGTTTTATTAGAAGTGCTATAAACACACAGGAATCTCCAAGTAGAGTGTTTTATACTTGTCTAATCATGACTTGAGCAGGAAAACAGCATGGTGTGATAATTAAGATGCTGGACTGGGAGGAGGGTTCTAGTGTGTACTTACCAGGGAACCAGCTGGGTGACCTTGGGCCCTTTTAAGCTTAAATGACACTCAGGCTTTGTGAGAAACTGGCTAATAAACATCCCCCCCTTGATACAGCATACATGCACCATTGTTGTGTGTATCATTATTTATTTTCATTTTGCATTGATGCTTTTAACCACGTTTCTCACCCAGAGTTGATTTTGCAAATTGGGCAGCCACACATTATTATTATTATTATTATTATTATTATTATTATTATTATTATTATTATTATTATTAATTAAACTTTTACCCCGCCCTTCTCTTTACGGACTCAGGGCGGCTAACAACCAATAAAATACAAATACACCCCAAGACACCCCTTAAAACTTGGTTAAAAAGAAATATTTAAATTGGCTATAATTAATTAAAAATGTTTAAGAACCCCACTAAAAAATTTCCCCTTAGGCCAGTCCTGCTTGCTGAAATAACCATGTCTTGAGGGCGCGGCAGAAGGAAGGGAGATCCGGAATCACCCGGATCTCTGGGGGTAGCTCGTTCCAGAGGGTGGGAGCTCCCACTGAGAAGGCCCTCCCCCTGGGAGTCGCCAGCCGGCACTGTCTGGCTGACGGCACCCTGAGGAGACCCACCCTGTGGGAGCGTACCGGCCGATGGGGGGTAATCTGCGGCAGAAGGCGGTCTCGGAGATAT